AATATTTTATTCATAATTGCTTCAAAAGTTTCTAATTTACAGAAAAATGTGGAAAAAGATAAGTTTCGCAAGTGTTGCGAGTATTATGTTTTTCAGTTTGAAATTTCGATTTTTCTGTGCAGCCAAATTTTTAAATTAGAAAAAGTTAATAATTAATATATTGTTTCAGTTAAAATTTTTATTTATTGAGTTTCAGTGTAAAAGGTGAAGCTTTCATATTTTCTAATTCTGAACCGATGTTTAAAAAAAAAAATGTATACAAAATTTTTACATGAGATTTCAAGTCTAGACACATTTTAATTTTTTTTTATGGTTTGAAGTCATTTTTGTTGATTAAAATTTTTTTTGCAAAAATTTTAAATTTTTTTATGAAGAAAAATTTTAAAGAAACTACAAATGGCCAATCCTAAGGGTGCGTACAGAAAGCCGAACAGCTGGTGTTCACATTGAACGAAGAGGAGCGGCGGGGCTTTTTACAAGTAAACAATCGTAAAAATATCAAAAAATTTGCTAAATATACTAAAATGTTTGTTCAATTTATTTCAACTGCTTTCTCAAATTCTCCATTATTTATTTTATTTTTTTTTTGTACGCATGAAGCTTAAAAATCAAAGAAGAAACTTGAAAATCAAAACATGCTTTGCTTTCAGCTCCAAAACGCTTTTGGAAAAGCTTAATGTATATATAGACATCATATATCTACATTAACTTGAAAGCTTGGTACGGCTTCGCTCGTCTCGTCTCCGCTTTCTGTGTGAACATACCCTAAGGTTAAAACTTTAAAGACAAGAATTCAAATTACCTGTAGGAAAATTTCCAATTTATAGTAAAATATATGCATGCATAACGCTAGCTTAGAGTGAAAAGTTGCTAAGTCCATTTTTTTTTAATCTTAGAGGAGAGGAAAAATTCTTATCGCCATTTTCAGCAAGTATTTTGCAAAACCTTGAAAAGCAAAGCATAACTCTATACGAATTCCTTCTGTGAGTTTTTATATTAAATAAAAAAAAAATTATATTTAATTTTCCACTTAAATTGCTTTCGTGAATCTCGGCTATACGAGTTTTCACAATTATTTTAACTGAAAAAATAAAAAAATTTTAGTTGAGTAAACTTTAATGTGAAAAAAAATAAATAAAATTTTTTATTTGAAATCGAATTCGAAAATTTTATATTCTAGGGGTTTCGACTATATTAAGAAAACCAATTTCTAACTCAAATTTGAAAATCAATATTTCAAATTTAGTATTTAGAACTATCTGCCGGTTATTTATATATTTAATATACCACTTAAATTGCTTTCCTTAAAGTGGATGCAAGAGTTTTCACAAATATTTCAACTGAAAAAAATTTTAAAAATTTGAATTAAAAAAATTTTTATGTAAAATAAAAAAAAATGGAAAATTTGAATTTAAAATTTTTAATCTGGAACTCTCGGCATAATTTATTTAAATTTTAAATTTAATTTTTTAAGTTTAATTAGAAAAAATCGTTATAAATAAAACAATAGGGCTATTCGCGATCCGGTGCAAATGGCCTAGCATCATTGCAATGCAAATTTGTATTGCAAATTATTTGCAATACACAAACAAAATACACGCATTTGTATTTGTCATGGCTTGACAAATTTGCAATACCTAAAATCCATAGCATAAAAATGCTATGCATTGCATTCATAAACAAAACCAAAGCTGATGCACAAAAATTGTTTTGCAAAAGCTTTACCACGACAGTTTAATAAAGGCCGCTCACAATCCATGGCATATTTCTGCAATTGCATAAATTTGTCAGCTCTTATGCACCAAATCGCGAATAGCCCTTATATAAAAATCAATTTTAAATAGAACTGAAATTCTCGAACTTTGATATTATTTTTAATTTGGTAAAACTTCCAATTGTGATGAATTATTCGTCTAATAACTAAGATTATTTTCTGTAATGATCGAAAAACTATTCAATATTTTTCGGATTTCCCCCACTACATTTAAATAGTCCTTAAATACTCCGAGCAAAGTCTCTAATGCAAGTTATATAACTTTTTTTTTTGGTATTTGAGTTAAGGCAAATTATGCTGCTGTCACAAAGTGCTTAAATAATCCACGAACCCTCTGAAATATGCTACTTGAAAACTTAAGTAAAATTCACTACAATTTTAAAACACACAAAAGCACTTAGATAGCCCACTTGAAATTAATCTAATTTGTCTGTTACACACATCTTAGTCGTAATGTAATTAAACTTAATGCTATTACGGTAAATGCAATTTTATCTTTCACCTCTATTTCGTTTCTTAACTGCTGCTCTCGAATTTCTCATCACACATACACACACACACTAACGTACGAACAAACAGATTGGCTGCCTTGGAGATTAATAAATTTCAGGATCAATTAGTCAAGCGGCTTGTCATGGATTTGACGCTATCAACAGCGTCCACAACAACATCGAACGATGCATATTCAAGGCACCAGTATCAACAACAACAACAACAGCAACTACTTGCAAAACAAGAAAACAACTTTGGACAACAGCAGCCATCACAGCCGTACGATTATCACAGCATGGAACCGGCGGCTACCAGTAAACATTATGGCAATGATGCAACTCAACAGCGTCAACAACAGCAACAACAATTGGAACGCTACTGGCAATTACAGGCGGCAAGACAACGTCAATGGTTATTGCAACAGCAGCAACAACAATTTGAATGGAATTTCGCAACGTCCTTTCTGTACTCGCTGACCGTTGTGACGACAGTGGGTGAGTTCATACAAATTTTAGAGAATGTGTATTAGGAAATTAGTTAAAAATAATGTCTTCACTTGGTTGAATTTAAAATAAAACTTGAAGTGTATATATAATCAATATATGTACATATGTCATGGGAAAGAATATGTACTTCACAAACACTGCACTGTACATCTTGGATGTTGAGTTATATTTGGTTAGATAGCCATTCCGAGCTTCAACGATTCCAGGTTGTTTGTCTCCTGAAACCACTATTCGTCTGTCACATATATCTTCTAAGAAGTCGGTTTCCACTAGTCTAAGCCGCATACTTCAAAATAGTCGTTGTGTCAAATTTTAAACTTAACAATCTTATAGTCAAAAGTCTAAGGTTTCGTGTTCACTGTTAGCTAAGTGTGGACCAAAGAAATAGTCGTCGGCTTCAGGTATTCAGATTAAAGGGTGAACACACCAAAACTGCGACACTTTGGGAAGCTTATAACTTACCCAAAACGAATTCAATATTTTGAAATTCAAATACCATAAGTTGACCATGACCTTAGTTGAACGTAGAAGAAATTTCATTTGAATTTCATTCCTAGTTGAGTTAAAAATGGCAACCGAGCTAGAAACGAGACAAACCATTTTGCACGAGTTTATAAATGATCCGGCCTTAAGTACACGTAAAATTGCTAAAAAATTAAAGAGTGCACTACTCGACAGTTTGCAGGGTTTTAATCGGTACAAATAAGGCCTGACAGTTACGAGAAAACCAGGGAGCGGGGGTTAGCATGGTCAAAGTGATAAAAACAGTGCTCGGAAGGTCCTCAGTGCGTTTTCGCGAGATCCGAAGATTTTGTCGCGTTATGTTGCAAAATCCGTACGGAGATCGCAGTTTTTCGTACAAAAGGTAAAGCGGAAAGCTTCATTGAGATGTTCTACAGCTCAAACAGCGCCAGACCGAGGCGCAAAGTAGAATGTTACAGCGAAATCCTGCATTCGGAAGTTCTATGAATTCCAAATTAAAAAATACAACTGCATTGTTATGGACTGCGAAACCTACTGCTATAAGAATTCAAAATATATTGCAGGTCAAGATTTTTATACTGCTGCAAGTCGTCAAGATGCCCCTGAAAGTTGTAAGCTGAAAATGAAGTCAAAATTTCCAAAAAAACACATGGTTTGGCAAGCTATTTGTTCCTGCGGCCGTAAGAGCAGCCCTTTTTCCCCATCCAGTAAAGTAAAACACAAAGTAATTGGTTTTTGTTGTTTATTTAAT